GGGTTTCAAAACTTGGACGGGTCAGTGGATTAATACTACTGTTGAGCTCAAACGAGATTGAATTTAAAGTCTCGGTATTATGGTAGAAGGCGAATAGTGTGTGAAGACTGAGTTTAAAGGTGATTAATCAGTACATAGAAAACAGATCCGATGCAGCTCCTTGCGTCTTTTTTAATCTAAATACTTTTTTCGTAAAATGAATGACAACAATAATAATTTTCTTCATGTTTTCGTTCCCGGAAAACTTGTTTTACGTTCAAATGCAAACGATTAGATATGCTGAGTTTATCTTTGTCTTTCATCGCATCTATACACACAAACACAGCCATATATGCTCACACACAAACACGCGAATAACTTTTCTTTGTACATCAATTCTTTCTACACGGTTTCCAGTTCCAAAGAGCCGGTGTTGCTCTCCACGCCCTTTTCACTCGCCGCAGTTCAAATGCCGCAAAAAATCTACCGTATACCACTCCCGCAGCGCAGACTGAGGACAACCTCATGTTTCTCGAGTCGCAATGGGGTGAAGGCGTTGAAAGTGGTGGATATGTCAATCCGGGTTTCGAGGACGACGAGGGTGAATTAGTCGATCAGAGGTAAATTTGAACACCCACACCATATACTAATAATGCACAGCTTCTGGCCTTTGTGTTGTTGTCAGCTTTTCATCAAGATAGCTTGTCATGTCGTTCCGCAAAACTCGTGGCTGGGCTGAAAATGCAAGCTTGTTTAGCTGTAATGGTCTTTTCTTGGCATCAAATAGCACATTGGTCGGACCACTGTCGCTTTCATTTTATCCTTGATAGGCGGTGTGAAAGGTGCTTCAAGTTGATAAAAGCCAGTCATGCCCTCCAAATCTGACTGAACCTTCATCTGAGATTGATTCACTATAAAGTTTCGAAGTTTGTACACTTACCCGCCGCTTCATTTAGAGAACTAAAGGGAGTTAGATTGACCAAATAGCAGTACAGTATTTGACACGTCGAAGATTCAAACGCATGCTGGTTATTTAGATTATTCACAAGGGCTTGCAATTTTCCTGGATGTTTTTTAACAGTACAATAAAATCTGTGTAATGCAAACCAGATAAATTGCCGGCTAAGAGTACCTCCTGGTTCTTTTTAGATTGAAACAATAAATAAGCACCGTTTTAGTGGGATTTGCCACATCTTCGAGATCTTGGAGCGTGCTGATCAACCCATCAGGGTAGGTCGGTGATGGATTACCTGAACTTTCAGAGCTTTGTGGCACTTACTATCTATTACCTTGAATTCATTCATCCACTAAAGGATTCTTCGAGCCCCGACATGCAGTTAGGTAGTTGAATTCAGCTTTGAAGTTGATAGTCAAATAATTAAAACAATGGACTGTTTAGCACAGACAGATGTTTTCGTCGCCCATACCTCGTACCAATTGAGAAAGCTTCCAGAAAAATAATCAAAGTAATAGCTCATTACCAGCTCTGCGGTAGGTCTAGGTTATCAGCTTTTCCCATGGACAGATGTCGCTATAGACGAAATATCGGGAAACTCCGTAAGTGACCTTAAAAGTGTGATCATTCAATAGACTGCGGTAGACACGCTACACGACTTGACCACTTTGTCTGTTTGTTCGAATGTGTAAAGCACACTTGACAGACTGTCAGTTTATGCTGCTCCATCTTTAATGGGGCTTTTATCTTAAAGTGCACCATGATGCTGAAATACCTACCGGAGCAGTTGCGTGATGAATGTAGTTAGAACAGAGACACAGGCAACTCCGTGCGTATTCTCTGAATCAGTGCCCTGCGCTGAACTGAAATATCTTTAGTTTCGATGTGCTATCTAGCTCCCAGGAGTTGAAACATTGCTTTTTTGTAGTAAAATCTGTTCCAAGTTATACATAGGTTATCCACTTAATCAGATATGCCAGATGAAATGAGTTGGTATCAGGAGTGGTTAAAGGAATAGAGTTTACATGCAAACAGGTCGATGTGCAGTAGGTGAATGCATTCATACAAAATTTGGTTCGCCAACTTCAATCAGGCATAAACATGTCTGCCACGTATATTGTTCAGAAGAACAGTCAGAGGGATTCGGGAAACGCCGCTGATCATTATGAGGAATACTTCTCGGAAACTAACCAGCCTTCAGCTAACTCAGTATGATCCATAGATGGCATTAAAAGAGTATAGGGAGAACAAACCGATGAACGAAAGTCCGTTTCATTGNTTCATTGAATGATTAGTGCAAAAGTGATGAAATCTTCTTGTCTGCGGGGGAATCCTTTTAGCTTGTAATCAATTTCAGTCATAGCACCCAGATACTTCACACTATTGACTCTGCTCATTGGGTTTTTTTATTTGGTTCGTTTCAAAGAGATACAGACGGGATTGGCTGAGGAGTAACGATTCATCGGTGGCATTTATCAGGGTTAAGCATAAGACCGGATGAAGTGGAGTATGCAACAAGATGAGATTTGGATCGTTTGAATGGTCCCACAGAACACATTGAGAACAACGACACCGCGGAAAACAAGCTCGTTTTCATTTATGCGTAATAATGTCATTACTTAACAATAATTATGACTAACAACAAGAACAAAAGCGAGTGATAAATTCCAGCCCTCATAGTTCACATCTGGTGTGTTCGCACCTCGTTCGGTCAAATCACTCAGTGAATGTGGTATATTACGTTTCGACCGATCTACATGGTTCGCTGTAGGCAACCAAGAACAGCGAGGCAACGGATTCTGGCAATGGCCAAATTCCTGAGCATTCGGATTGATGAGCTCCCCTTCCCCACCCTTGTGTACGAACGAAGCAATTCTTGTAAACACTGAATCACCTACAGCCTACTTAATTCACTCCAACACGTTTGCAATCACTTGAACATTTGACACGGTGATCGATTTGTATCATACGGTATTGTAATGACTTGTACAAGTAACTATGCTTAAAGTTCAGACAAAAATGTGCTCTCCGTTACAATGGGATAAAAAGCGAAAAAGTCGTATAAAACAAGGATAAAACTTAAACAAACGATAGATGCATATTTAAAATAATTCTTTTAGTATCTTCTACTTTTCAGTTAGAATAAGAGCTAGATAGGGTACTTGTTGTGAATGTTTTAATGTTAATATCACAGTAATGTCGGTTGCGAATTCTGTTCGCCGACGCTTCGGTTAACGTCTCAATGCAGGTTTACAACCAGATGACTCAAATGAAAGGATCCCAAGTCAGCGGATATGTCCTCGTGTGTGTGGCAACACCATTGGTTTATCTGTACAAGTTGTGTTCGAAAGTAAATAAGGTTGACATTAGACAAATTTCTACATTAGCAACAATTTTCGATGAGGTTAAAGAAGTTCGTTCTCATGATGTGACATCAGACATCAGCAAAGAATGTAGAAAATGTAAGCTCTCTTTTATGGGAACACTGGTGGACAGAGAAACCATATCGAGGCTGACGGCAACCTCGTCACTTTCAAGTGCAATGTCTTGCAAAATACGAGAAAACTCAAATGCATCATTGACATGACTTACCGCTATTTTTTATACGATTTTAATAGATCACTGAAGTATTTTGCTAATTTATAAGTTCCACACTATGTGGTCTACGATGGGGCGAATGAATATGTCCGGTTTATGCATTTTTGGTAGACCGTAAAATCTACCCGTTCTATTCGTTTTGGGTGCCAGTGCGCCATCGCTCTTCACGCCGTAGCCGAAGGTCTCACCATAGACTACGACAACCCCAAAATACTCCAACTCGGATTTCGAACATGCACTGAACGCTTGTATACCGAAGCTTTGAACATTAACACCCATTCTGCATGTGTTAACGGAAACGACGGAATCGAGATCCCGAGCATTTGGACGACCCTGACATCCCTAGTGCGTAATCACGATAAAGATCACGGTGTCACTTGACCCCATCTAATAATGGGAGTTAGTATGCCGGACAACGAATCATTCAGACAATACACACACACACGATGAAATATTCGCTGACTTGTTATCCTTTCCTCTGAGTTATTTGATTGTAAACCTGCCTTGAGAAAAGTTAATCACGGTAACCGAAACGTTGACTGAAAGCTTGTATGTAATTCGCTAAAGCTTGAATACAATATAATACAATATAGTATAATTCTCTGCCGACATCGCTGTGTTATTAACATTAAACATTCACAATAAATGGGAAGCATAGTTTCCCAGTAACGAATTTGAACGAATTTGAATTTCTGGCTTCTTTATTCAAATTCATAATAAACACAGCAAACGGCGCATCGATTTTTCGATACACTCCTAACATCATTTGGTCCTGATGAATTAAAAATAGATATGATACTGCTGAATTGCGATAATTTTTTCTGTGGGAGGATGAAGAGCGATCATGGGATCGGGTTGAATTGTGTGAATGGCAATTGGATAGGTCGGGATTGAGCGGATGACTGGGGTCGTTGAGTATCTGAAGGACGAAATTCCCACATGAAGTAATATGAAAACCACACAATTTTATGATGAGTATTTTTGGGAATAAGAGAAACACGACTAATAATCACAAAACCGCGGAGAAGAGTAATGAAATCCTTTCTAAGTATTCCAGAGAAAATATCCGCCGAACAATAAAGTATAACAGGAAAATGCATTGATAATCAAAAGTACAGATAGTTGCACGCTTCACTCTAAATTGTCGTATCTTGTATATCTGGAAGGATAAGCGACACAGGCTAGCATACGAGAGAACCACTGTAGATTGCTGTCTATGGTGACTCCTAGATAGTTGGTGTTTTGTGTAATGTGTACAAAATTGATGATTGGGAGTTCCAAGGGATACTCAGATCGGGAAAGACCAAAAACGCATTGGACATATATAGTAGCATTCAAATGGAGACCGGATTGGTTCAACAATAATTCCACTTGTACTAAACTTTCGGAAAATAGTTCCATGTCAGATTGGTTTGAGATGGCTTGACATAAGGTCAAGGTAAGTCACTGATGAATATCGAAAGAAGTATGGAGAAATCACAAAACCCGGGAAGATTCCGAAATAAGGCACTAACGATTTTGAAACTGTCGTTTGTTCTCGTTTTTTGAATCCTCCTAATAAAATAGTCTTTCAACCACGACAATAAATTGGTGTAGCAACCGAATGATTGGAAAAAAGATCGTGGAACTGAATATAAAGTGGGAGAATATTCAAGGAAAACATAAAGAACAGATTTTTGGGAATCATCCAAAGATTTACAAATAAAGTGCATCAGTGAAGAAACAGCATCCAAAGTACATCTATTTAGCTTATGGATCAACTGTAGGGGGTCGTCTGGAACATGGATTTCAGACAGCAAGCTAGTGAGAATAGCGCGCTCCGCTAGCTCAACTCCGGAAGAAATAATGGCCATAGTACGAGTGAGTTTGGATAAAAAGCTGGATTAAGATGATTTAGGAATGAAAACAGTGATGAATGGTTTCCAGGAATCAGGGTTTACACATGTGCATATGGATTTACTAATAACGGACGCGAAAATCTCTGTGAGCGAACCAGCACCATGTTTGAGCATAGACCATCTGGGCCAACTGCGTTCGTGCTTTTCGTAGTTTTAAGGCGATGATAGACCTACTCATGAGTAACAGTGGTTACGGTAGATAGACAATCTGTGGGGTATGGAGATAGAAGAATGTTTGAAGGATAAATGAATGCCATATTAAGGCTTTCAACGTCAACAGTTTTGTTTGTTGACCATTTCCTCTGTTCACACGGCAATGTGATCCCCTACACACCGTGTCCAGCTCACAGAACACAAACGTACACGCACATACGTTTGGATCCAGATCTGAACTATTAGAACTGGGATTTGTCAACCCCTTTTGTTCTTGTTGTTATTCGCATTTCAGGTTATGTAATGTCACGGCTACGAATAGCTGAAAACGAGCTTGTTCGTCACACTGTTGTTATTCTCAAGATAAGATTTGGTAATGTCGCATGTTTCGAGTTCGGATTGATCAGAAATAGGCAAAATCATCAGCACACTTGAGACGGCAAACAGTGTGATAAACACTCAAATTCTTATTATAAGTTGTAAAAAGATAAGGTGATGAAACAGTATACTGCAATGCATCACAATTTCTCAGTGGAGCCGTTATTTATCTTTCCCTAATACGACCAGCCGATTTCCTTGCGAGACAAAAATCAAGAGAAGAGAGACCACCAAATATATGCAGCTTGTTAAGTAGAAAACAAACGAGGCACAAAGTCGCATACAGGGAGTTGCAAGCAAAATAAACTAAGGAATAGACAGAATTCAATGCAAATTAAAAAATGTCACAGGAGTCTGAAAGAGATACCTGTAGACGTTCCAGATCCTACCACTCCAATTAAAAGCCGACAGAAGTGAGAGCGATGGACCGGAAATGAGTGCAAAAATGGAGTTGTATCAGGTGCTTGGAAATACGCATGATCCATACCGGGAGTCAACAATCTGGAATTTTATGATGAATTCTGCCTTATAAAGTTATGAAGCATCGGTTGACTTGAAGGGTTTACCTTAAACGTTTGCATAATTTTAAGTAGATCGAATGAAGAGACCCAGTTCGAGGGAAGAGAAGCGTTTGCAAATACGGGAGTATTGTGGCTAAATCGTCGTCAAATCTAATTCACATTGGTAGGCTTCCACAATTCGGACACGTGTTCTCATGTCTAACAGTCGTCTACTGCACCGCATTTCGATTGCAATTTCCGGGGTGGAGAAAATCACCTGGGGAGTTAAGCAGGTACCATAAAGAGAAGATATGAAGAACTGTACAAAAGAAATTTCGTGGTTTATGTGTCTCTCAACCTCTGGGGTAGTATTCAAAAGACTCCGTAACTGATGTTCGGATACACTGCCGAACAGGTCAGAATACCGACAGCAGTGAAGTTGTTTTTATCGGACCAAAATGCTTCAAAATGTGTGGGGAAAATTATGCTGTGATCTATGTTTTGAGAGCTTAACGGTTTCCCTTCCATAAAAGTAGACCTACTCCCTAGCCTTATTGGATATTTACGGTTGCTATGCTCAAAATGTGAGCCTAACAGAGATCATTCAAGTTCACTTCACCGGATTTCACTTTACCATTATGATGATGTCGTTTATCGTAGATTTATTTCACATGGCGAGGACAACATTTTTTCAAGCAAACGATCAAGCATGTTTGTCTACGTAAAATTGAACAACTCTATACTGACCATCACTGTTAACTACGGCTCTCTGAGCAAAAGATCCGAACGATAATTCACCACAAAAATTAGACATACTACCAGATAATCGTTTTGATGACCAAGATTTAATCTTTCCCGAAAGAATTTATGGCATAATTCATCAGAAAGATGGTCTTTGTGCCTTCTGATTCAGCTCACTACTTTGACAGTGTTGCGCACAATCGTAGATAAAAAAATGAATAGACCCTATGGCCGAAACCACATCGCTTTATTGTAGTTTACTTTTTAAAATAGCTTATTTCTCTTATTGTGTATGCTAAATAAAGGAAGACCATGGCTACTGGAGGAAAGAAAGACAGGGATGAAGGAACCAGAGTCATGAATCGACGACACCACCTAAAAACTGATGTACGGTTGACGTTTGACGAACCCTAGGTCACCACGCGGCAATCGCTTGTCGATTTGTTCTCAGTCCGGTTTGTGTATAAACAGGTTCGATCTGTCTTCCAAATTGGCTGATGTGTGCAAAAGACGGAAATCACATTCCCGGAAATAAAGCTTTACTTATCTCGTGTATATGACCAGTGTTTAGCCGAGTAAACAAGTTTTGATTTCGCTTTCAGATCCTCCTATCCGTTTTCTTCTGTTTGAAGGTATGAACTAAATTATGGTTGGCGTGAACAGCCAGTCTGTCTTATAATGTCTGTTAATCAAATAAAACAAAACTCAAAAAGACATTTTATATTTATGAAGATATTGTTTGATTTCACTATCTCCTCACCGGCACAAGTTTTGAAACTTCAATCAGATATCACCTGTCTCGATTGTTTTTTCGTTCCACCAAAAGATTCTTGGACGAGTTGGACAACCTTTGCGAGATCGGGCAACGGTGTACATTTGTCGGACAGGACTATGTGAATTGGAATGTGAGCGAACCGGACGGGAAAGAGCACGCTGCCAAGGGTATGCAACTGGACCTGATTGGTTCGGTTTCAGTTTTAATAACCGTCATTTTCGGATTGTTGTACTGTCCGTCTTGTTGATGTTTCGTTAAAAATACAAGTGAGGTAAATTAAGTTGAATGAACCGGTGGGAGAGAAAATAGGTAAACGGAATTGTGATGCTTCTCTGGCATAACAAATAAGCCCTAGAAAGGAATTCCATCACGAATCACAGCGAGAACATATCATTCCCGTAATGGAACAGTAAAAGCGGATAAGACTGGGACTAATTAACAACATTCAGTTTTTGACTGGCAGTAACTATTGTGACCCATAGATGACAGCAACCATCGGACAATCATGAATCACGAATTGAACGAGCGCACGATTGGACAATAGCCCGACCCACATGCCAGATCAGTCAACGGTACCCAGCGCAATCCCGGGTAAATCGAAACACCCAGTAGAAGTTCTATTCGATAACACAACCAAAGGGCCTTCAGACGAGATTTTGTATTTAACTCAACGCAAAGATGGTTGTGGTAGAAAGCTCGCAGGTGTATATACATTTTTACGGGTGGTCATCAGGTCAAAGATTTGAGGGAAACGAACAATCTGAGGAAAGCACAACCGGTGGTGTGAAATGAGGCTTTTCTGGCACGGAAATTAAGAAATTCAAACGGTTCAAAAATGATTATTAACATAAAGGAAAGTAGTCATTTTTGAAATGGAAATGGCTTTTACTTATCAGTAACTCCAAATTTCGTGCATCAAGAAAGAAGACCATTCAACCTCATGTCGGTGATATACCTGGAAAATGATCTATCTCATGGTTACTGTACTCAACATCGATTTGTGTTGCGCTTTTTATCGCATTCTCATACACGACTGACAAGGCACGTGTGATCGGACTCTGACTTTCGCGTTCGTAACATGCACCCATGCATGTATCAACATCCACACATCAATCAGGGCGATGCATCTACTCCGTTCAACATGGCATTTGGTGAGTACTACTTATCTTTTAGGGCAAGCACTATTCGACACCGCGACGGTTGCAACCGTCAAACGTGCAGATATTCTTGTAGCAAGTGATCTTGTTGTATACAGCATGCAATGCATGGGACAATCTGTAGACTGTGCATGATTCACAAAATGGCTTTATGTAGATAAAGCTCGCGTATCGATTGGGCAAAGTAGTTCAGATCCAGTGCTCGGTGTGTAGCGACTAATCAATTAAGTTATGCCTAGCTTCCAAGTTATAATGATCAATAATCCACTAAGTATAAAAAGCATGGTGGGACGAATCAGGCAAACCATAGCAGATGTACAAGATCACTTCAACTGTTTTTGCACAGATTAATCTTGCCAAAAAAGGCAACCCTCACAAAAAGCAACTAAAATTGGAAGTAAGCATTGCCGCTCTGATTTATGTCACCCCTTTCCGAAAAAGTTAGTGGCTAGTGCATTTCAGTTCGATCCAGTTATGTTAAAAATTCATTAAGTTGTACTTGGTACTTGGTGGTTCTAATCTCTCCATTCCCGCTGGAACTTACATGCACTGAACTAGCCTATATTAATGGATTTGGCACCCACGTCAAAATGAGGCCACGTGTATGGCTTGATCCATTTGTATGTGCTTCGTGGTTTGTGCTCAATTATTCACGTTATGGTGATTACCTTTCGAGGGGGAGCATCGATGAATGCCACTGGGTATACGTGTGTTTATCGCTGTTTGATGGGAAGCTGTGATCCACAGACTACATAATAGCAGTTTTGTTTTTGACTGGAATTGTTCAATTTCTCTATAATTAAGACATAAATTTTACATATCATGCAGCCCAGGCAATCCATTAATGTGTGGGCGCGGGGAAGCTAAGCTTATTTTATGCGCTTTTTTACATACTCATTTTGGGTTCAGGGTGCTGGAAGCTGTTTGTCCCATCTAGAATTCTGTTTGAAACCTCTTGCTATCGTTCGGCACAAAGCTGTTTCTCTCTCGCTTTTGTTAGTGAATAGCACTGTCGCCAGTCCTCACTTTTTGTCCACCTAGGGGGACTCCAACTACAGATATTCGAGTTATGTACAAAACATGTTCACTTAAAACTATTAGGTCTACTTTATTTGTGAATTCGCTTCAACAGTAGATGGTACAGACTCCTTGGTCAGAGGAAATCTGTGGTAAGAGGCCATGCAAACAACCGCTGTGAGCAAAACATCAGTTGTAGCCAGATAGACATTCGTTTGTTTTTCACATGTACCAAGTGGATTGACTGTGTTTACTGGCTGACGAAGGATAAGTATGATCACCAATGATGGAATATCATCTCTTCACACACCCTCAGATTTGGTGGACCGGAATGTCGTACCGCGTATGCCATGGCACGACATTGGATGCGTCTTGTCCGGCCAGATCGCTTCGGATTTTTCTCGGCATTTTATTCAGCGCTGGAATGCCATTCGAGTAAGTAAAACGTGAAGTCGAATGATGGGAGTGGCTATTATCAACGAGTGATTTCAAGTGTACTAGACTGGTTTTATTCGATAGAAGAAAATCTCAAATAGAACAAACCGTGGCGAAGAAGAAAATTTGAACCAGGATAAACCACAGAAAGGGAAAATCATGGTTGTCTTCTTTAATGTTTGGGAGCCACCGGTCGGTTTTTGAAAGCTTTTGCGTTAAAAAGGATAGATAAATCTGATGGTGTAAATATTCCGTCTGTATTAAAGTGGAATGGTGAGGACATAAGTGTAAAAACCATTTCTTTTATTGTCCTTGACAGTGAGAAATGGAAATGGTAAGAAGAGAGCGTGTTTACTACTCGGAATGGGAATCGAAATTGAATAGCGCGAACTCGGAATCGGACTGAAAACCCACTGAATAGCGCAAAGTCAGATAGAACCAAGACGAGCTGTGGATACAGTTAATTCTATTCAGAAAATCATTCAAATATATATCACAAGCAACAAATAATCATTGGTCGATCAATAAAATTGCGACCAGTGCCATCCTAACTCACGCAGTCGAACGAACGAACTGGCACGTAAGGGGGCATTCAAGGTCATCTACCGATCAAAAGGGGTGAGACAAAGAATTCTGTACACACCCGGAGCGACCGCGATCAGGCCAAACCAACCAATACTGTGTTCGCAAAAACAACTTGTCAAGACCCTACTACTGCCCTGACCTAAGACCCGTAAGATCGTGAAACAGACACATCAGTTTGACTTATCCTTGACTGCTCCATCCGGACACAGTCCTCAACATCAATCATCACAACAACTGTATGAGTACTCACACTACAGACTATCACGCTGTGTTGTGTCTATACATGTTTGATTGTGTGCACTGTATTGGCCCGATGAGAAGTATCGAAAAAACAGATCTTTGCCATTTTCAGACTTCTCCTATTCTTCAATGTCCAATCGACAACGATATGTTTTTTTGTTTGCCCTCTGGCATTCATCTAATCCGGTTCGTGCCAATTGAGATCACACGATTGGTCCGTTAATCCATTTCTTGACTGGTTACCAGGAAGCTGTACCGCGATGCTTGCGTACTCGTTACACGATCACCGCAGTGTGACAAAACCCAACGGTTCTCCTGGAAAAAGATGTACTAAAGCCAAGCCAGGGCACAACATAAGAAGACATTCAAGCGCAAACATGATTGATTGTTTGTGTTAGAGCTTGACGAGATGTTGTGATCACAACCCAAGATTGGCAGGACCATATTTAAGAATGACAACTATAGCAGCCGGTTTGCAGGTGTTGAATGGTACGTAGTTTAGCGTGCGACGCTGATCGCATGCGACCATAGTGCGCACGTCTGGCACCATAATGGACTGATGCAGACTCCGCGGATTTGCTATTTCACCACTAAGTGCCATCCTTGTACTGTTTCGTCTGAAAGTGGCTCTCATCATAGCTGAGTAATCTGAAAACAAACGGTGAGCGATAAGAAAAATAGATCTCATTTGTAGCTGGTATCACTGTAAACATGTATAGGTTACGGATTAGGCTATCAGGCTTGCGTTCTTGTGTACTTCTTGATAAACTGAACTGAGGAAATNGTACTTCTTGATAAACTGAACTGAGGAAATCTTCCCAGAGCAGGTAGTTGGCATGTGGTTGGTGGATCGTACATGTCTCTATAAATTGGATGGTTTATTAGGATGGTAAAAGATCAGTGCTCTAATTGGGATGGTAGAGTGTGGACTAGGCTTATGCGTGGGTTCGAATCTCACCGAAGGGCTACAGTCTGAACATAAGACTGTTGTTCCTTAACAGTGACAAACTATTGCTCCTAAAGATTTGACACGGTGTTTCTGAAACCATAGTGGAAATAGGCAATAACGATAGAAATCTAATGACTGGACAGATTTGGAATACAGGGGAAACGCAGAAGCAGTGAAATGAATAAGGTAAATATCATAACTAAACCTGTATAGTGAGCTCATGTTTGTTGACCCATGCGCGATTTAATCAACGGATCTAACATGTATAGACAAAGGGTTGGTAAATACAAAATGATACAATCCTCGTGGGTATCCGTTTCAGGTCAATTGGGTTCAAAGCTAAAGCAACCTACAATTCGACCGAAAATGTGCATAATGGTCGATAACCCTTGGTTTGTGGATCATAAGTTTTTCTGATTTGTTTTCCCTGTTTGAATTCAAATTTTTAAAAAAAATTTCTTTGTAATACGCTCAATAGTGCGCTCAGAAACACCCTTCTATTTTTTATAGTATCGCATTAATTGAGCCAAACTGAATTGTGTGACTCATCAGTTCAGTTTCAGCTTAAACAACAATTAAGCGTGCATTTCCATGCGACGCTTTTGGTTGCTGTTTTTTGGCTGCCCATTTGGGTGAACAGTAAGAGGAAAACGGGACGGCTGAAAGTGGCATCGAAGATAAAATTGAGAAGTTCAGTGGACTAATGATGCAGAGGAAATGAGAAGATGCACGAACGCCACTGTTTACGATACCCAGCCATATCACTCAGTGTCTCTAACCATCTGTTACGATCATCCCGAGATGTGACTCGTAATGTCGTGTATTGGGTAATTTTCAAGTTTTATCATGAAATCCTTAGGTATCCCCAATCTCATCGATATTTTTCCACTAAATGTCTTGGTGACAACGTTCCAGTGCTCAAAAGACGAAATTATTACCCAGTCATACCATTTTTCATTCAAACTTAGCACGATTGTTATTTTTCCTCCTTCGGATAACTCTTTACTCCCTAATTTTAGTTTCATCCTGTCGTTCATTGAACAGAGGCTCATACCAGAAACCAAAAACGCTTACACACTATGGTATTAGTTACCATATTATTTCATGAACACTCACTTTATTCCCCTCACTCTCCCATTCTGGCCCTTCATTTCTCCTCCCGATTGTCTTATTTTTGCCATTCATCACCATCGACCCTCTGATCAGACCTCTCGTATTCGTTTGGCTACCAAAGGGACCTCTGAAAGAGAACGACGTCGACAGAAACCTTTGTTAATTCCGGTCGAACCATGTGCCCCATGGAACACAGATAATTTGAGCACTGTGTTACGCGATCCGCGACAGGCTTCTTCGTGTCAGGCCCAAGCACTCCGTAGTGTATCCATTTGGTCTTTGTGTGTCCCAGCTGGTAATGTGAAGCGTGGATTCCGGGAAGAATTTCATCGTTGGTTATATGGTCACGATGATGCCAAGGTAGTTAGTACAATAAATGAACGTGAGCGAGGTCTAGAGACCTCCATTCTATCCGCATACATAAACTCAATCCTTGACGCAGAACATTTCATTTTGATCGAGAATCAGTTCTTTATCAGTTACATCATGTCCACGGATTTCAAAGCGAATCTCTACACGGAACGCCCGCGAAATGAGAGTCACCATATACCAGAGTATGCGACTGCAGAAAACACAGATCCACACGAAAGATTGCCCATTACCGATCAATCGGCTGAAGTGAAGAATCGAATTGTGGACGCCATATTTTTGCGAATTATACGTGCTCATAGGTAAGTTAAGTCAAATGCGTTTCATGTGATTAGTTAGTTGCTAAAATATCTATAATGTATGCATAACCATAATTTCGTCGAATTCATAAACGATTATGCCGAAGTCAGGCCGAGCTATTAGGCAAGTAAATTGTGCATAATGACAACTATCGTTTTTAATACATTTTATCCCTTGCATTAAATAAATACACAATTACACAACCATTTTAAGGGAATGGGCTGCTGCTATAGAGAATACAGGTAAGGGGAAGGGGTTGGTGATGGCGCAATTGGAACACATAATCTCCATAGCTCTAGGTAGGTGACCTTGAACATTTGGGGATACGTCAGCTGATCGGCTGAAATTGTGCTTATGCCTGAAATGAATAGTTTCCTAAGGCCAAAGAAACCCTATCTTTTAGGATTATTGTCAGACTTCGTGTCCAATTTTGTCTCACAAAATGTCTCAAAATTAGACCAGAAGATGTATTTATCTAGTGTATCTAGTGTATACGCACCACACTATCCTCGCGAATGAAAATTCGAGCAAAATGGTTTATTTTATTTCTGGACAGTTTGAACAATTAACCAATTTGTGTGATATGCAGCTTGTATTCTCGTTATATCGCAGGAGATTTCAGTGATGGGAACATCCGCATTTTGTCATGTGAAAACGTATTAAACTGGCATGAAGACTACACAAAACCAATCATATTAATACATTCATGTAATTAAATTAGTATGAATTTTGGTTAATTGTTGTCAATCCCTTGGATCCAATAGTTTAATGAATCTGAAATGTGTTTTGAGATAAATTCCATTAAGCAAGCAAACTGTTTATACTTAGTTCATCGAATGGCCATCACAATTACATACGGCTTCTTTGTGTTAATCGATCTGGTTTTGACCGCATCAAATTGTGTACGGAGAGTATGCTATGGTTGTATACCTGATCTTGGTTAGGTTACTAATTCGTCCCCGTGGGGTAAGTTATTGGGTTTCTTCATCCGAGTCCACGGTAAAGCTAATGTCCGAACGAACTGCTTCTGATGGCAAACGGAGGGTATCATATGTTTGCATAGCGATCTTCTCGGCTGTACCTAGGTTGATAATCCGAAGTCATTTTGGTAGAGGTGAAGGTTTACGATTTTACACCGTGGTTCCAATATGTGTTGGCAGATGGCACTTTTCGCTGTCCTAATTTCAGTGTCTCAACCTCGTTGACAGCCATCTTGTAGTTCGGTCGATTTAGGTACCTCCACGGGAACAGGGCCAGTTAGGTTTGCTTGGTGTGTATTGTTTGATGAGACGTCTGTGTGGGTGAAGAAAATAGGGATACAAGAACAAGATGGTCTTCGGAAACAAGAATGTGTTTGGGACCAACAATGGAAGTGAAGGATTTGATCATATTTGAACCCAAAACGTGATCGGATCTGACAGTGATGTGAACAGAACAGCTCCTATCGATTTATTTCAATAAACGGTTCGCATTCTTGTGCAGATGCTCTTTTTTACTTGTAAAGATAATTTTATAGGTAGCTGTGCTATACACTAGTGTACACAATCACTCATGGAATAAATCAATACATGGATTTTAACTAACAAAGAGGGTGTGATCAAAAACTCATTATTCCTGTATCTCCTAAGCTATTGCATCTGGCGGAGGAGCTTGCTCTTCTCGTGGTTCTGAAACTAATGAAGCATAACGTTATCCTCCATAACATATATATGGGTCTCTTTTTACTTTAAAAATATTCCTTCTAGGGAGTCTATTTCGTCATTTCGCCGTGGAATGCGTGTAATTGAGTGCATTGTTAGTGTGATTAGACCGCCCAATTGCAAGCTTGTGTACAATTCTTAGCTCTTTATATGTGCCAGTATCCGAGTAACACAGGTTTTTTCTAATCGTATACAACAAATTTATGCCAACAATTTCTTCGCTCTGAAATTCTGCTTGGTTCGCTTCTACAGAGAGGGAAAACCGTTTCGGGTGTTCATTATCCTGCCTCTCGTTCCCGGTTTTCCCGGTGAATTTGGTAATCCAACCGCAAGAAGTCAGCATATGATCTGGCACTACACTCGACTCAGTCTGTTCTCGGGTGAGCAAGCTCTATTCCCTCGACTAGCTCGATTTGTGCCCGATCCAAACGATTACGTGTCCGTATGCGGCTTACGCAACTATGCTGAATGGCCGAACGGGAATCTGGTGAGCTTTTTCATCCCTTTCCGTGGTTTCACCTTCAAACGAGTATACAAAACTACTCTCAAATCTCACCAATTGTTTTTTTTTAATTATCACAAAAGAAAACTGAAAAACATCATTATTGAGTAATTAAAGAAGAATAATTCTGTAGTGCTCACTCCATGTTTTGGTCTAATTGCTCTGTGCGATGCATCCTCAGATCAATGCACCAACTCGTATTTCCCAATCCATGCGAGAGGTAAACTTTTGGCCTCATTATGCACAATCGAAACTATGACAGATTCTGTGCAGCCTTAGGTTGAGTGTTCTATATCATTGGTTTTACCCTAGAAGAGATTCAAGTCTTTTCTTCGTATGTTCTCTCTTCATCGTTTTTTAACGATAGTACTTCAGCTTCATCTCGCTTCGGGGCGAGTGTCTCTGTGTTTGTTCTCTATTCGCATCTCCCAGCTTGACTTCAATAACTCTGTACTGCAACTGTTCTCATCCCCAAACTACTAAGTTTGCATTCTCATTCATTGCTCCCCGAAAGTGCAACAAACACTTCAATTGGTTGCTTTGTGCATTGTAAACCGGAATTCACCGTACGAATCACCCTGTGGAGTGAATCCTAAATTCAAAAACAAAAATCAAAGACAACACCTGGACAAACAGGAAGTGATAAATATGGCTAGTCGCAACATAAGCTGTTTTGCACACTGACAATACACACACTTTTCACCCCAGAGTTTCGGAGCTCCAAACCCCGGATGAGTCGATGGAAATTCTGAACCGGTAAATTGTAATGAGAGCAAAACAAGCAATTTCACCATTCGACAAGTGGACTAACTAGGCATAGTGCATAGGAATAAAGTTTGAATGATGACCAGTTAAAATTAATGATGATTTAACCCATCGGGTTACGCACAAGTAACGGAGAAATAAAATACAAGTGGAAGAAATTCCTTTCCTCGCCTATATTAATGTGTAATATACACCTTGTCGCACTCTTTTCATTGCTATCAATTGGTGTGGTGATGAATGGCACGCTAGTGAACTAATTTGTTCTCCGTTAACTTTTCCAATTCTAATGATTGATTCTATAAAAATAAATATGAAAAATTAACCATAGAATGGATTGTCTAATCCAAATGCGGTGATATTCATTCTCTCAAAGGATAAAAGTTTCTAACCAGTCAAATAGGAGAGGGAGGAGAAATAAACAGATCACCGGAGGGAATTCGATAACACTTCATTTAACTATACAGTGTGGCTGAATGCCGTAAGCGGCTCTTTGATGTCGTGAATAGGATTATGGTTTATTTGTGAATTCGTTGTAGCCAAGACAACAGTCGGATGATGTGTTCCGAGGTGAAAAAACATGATGCATATCATTATCAGCTTATATCTGGCTTGTTATGTTGACCTTCACTGTCACCCTTAGGTAGCAAACCCACCGCCTAGTAACCTTTCTGGCGAAATATTGTCTATAATAAATAAATTAATCCTCACAGATGAATGATCATCATTTGGGGCGATACCTCACCGGGTAGCTCTTGGTAACCAATAGAGTGCTGGGTAAGTAGTTCAAATCCAGGGTAACTATCAAGTGTTGCATGTTATTTGTGAAATGACGATTGCTGAGATGCAGACCATTATTTTGGAAGTTATACGCTTTTTCTTCTCCCTCATTCTGCAAACATCACACAGAAAACGGAGTTGGTCTATGTGCACAGCAAAGTCATGGTTGTGGACGATCAAAAATTGATAATCGGATCAGCCAATCTGAACGATCGGAGTACCCGGGGTAAACGAGACAGCGAGCTGGCAGTCCTGATTGAGAATAATCCGTATCAGCAAGATCAATCATTTTGTCCATTCGTGCGACGATTCCGACGCAGTTTGATGGCCGAACATTTGGGCGTATTACCCACACTGAAACGGGCGAATCGACACGAGTGGTCTGATGAACTGTTAAACGATCCGGTCTGTGACGAGTTCTATCATGGTGTGTGGCGAAAAACGGCACGACGCAACGCGGAGCTGTTTGAACAGGTCAGTGGATCACAATGTTGTGTGCGCTCTCGGTGGATGTGCGGCGCGACGGAACTATATTGTGACAAAAATGAGTTCACACTGTAAAATTTCCCCTTCCTTATACCGAGTGAAATGTATGGATGTCATATAAGTTCTCCGTGTTATACATGGTCACGACTCACCTGTCTCCCTTGCATTCTTGTTCTTGTGGAATTAGAAGGTAATGACGACATTAAACAGTGCCAGGATCCATTCATAGCACCAAGCATCTCAGTTTTAATTTCACTTTTTGTACAATCATTAACCGTGCATTTTCGTGCGGCGGTTTGGTTTCTGTCTTTTGGCTATCCATTTGGACAAAAGCACATATGGAAGATTGAAATTTTCAGAGGTCAAACAGAAAAGAGAATTTCGGTACACTAGGGTTGCAAGAATAATGAGTAGATATCCGAATGCTGTTGTATTTATTACTTTTAGAGTACAATGGATAAGATGAGCAACTGTGGCCTCGCATTTGGCGATTGGCTATACAGGAGGTAAAATTTCGTCGTCCGGGAATTGAGACTACGTGAAATTGGGGATATCATCTTTTAATGTATTTATCAATTTCTTAGCCACCCCTGAAGCTTATTCCCAGATAGGGACTAGTCAGTTTAGAAGGAGGTACGATTTAGTGAAATTCATCTCACTGAGACACATCCGTGACATCACCACAACTGGTTGTTGATAGAAGGCTGTGTAATCTCTTACGATCCAATCAGTTTTCCGGAAACATAATCTTCACTGCTGTTCTTTGAAGACCAGCTACGTACTACACTCATATGATAATCACACAAAAGGAAATTCATTTTTAACAATAATGTACTGACCCATGGCAGTCGTGGCTTTCCGAAGTTCTTCACCTCTAAACACTGCAATTCCTGAGAAATTTCTCATGTTCAACTTTAGATAGAACTTCCCAACGATCAGTGTTTGTTCATACCAAGGAGTTCTAGAAAAAGATAAAATGTGAATCAATCTTCGCGTAAGGTAAACACCGAAGAAAGCCTTAATCAGTTAATTGGATGCTGAATGTGATGTTGGGTGTCCCGGGTATGGTTCTGAAAATCCGACTTAACGATGTTTGGTGATACGGTCGCATCACACTTAATTAACAAATTCACTCCATGCCGTCTGGTTTGTTCTTTTGCGTTTTCGCATTTACCTCGTCAAGAATATTAAAAAAATTTTGATGAGACTTAAAGCAGAGTGCGGAACTGAACGGTGAATATTATCGTTTACTTTCATCTGTTCCATTCAGGTATTCAATGTCATTCCATGCAACCACTTGAAAACGTTCAACGACTGCAAAGAATATAGACAGAAGATTCCAATGAGCGTGGGGGATCCTCAAAAATCACGAGAATTGTTGAAGCAAGTTCGAGGCTACCTAGTTGAATTTCCGGCCGAATTCTTAGCTAACGAAGACTTGACGCCACCCCCAGGGACATTGGAAAATCTGGCGCCGGCCCTAATCTGGTTATGATCAAAATCAACCGGTTACATAGTTCACTTTTTATCCTCCCTCCTCTCTTAACCCTTTCGCTCAAGCACACACACACACACATGAATACCATAGCCACCCATCTCCTCTCTCGCGTTCCGGTTACTATCCATTTCTGATGAGTCATCGGAACACTTCGGATGCTCCACTCCGCGGGAGCGGTGAAGTTTGTTCGTTTACTGGAGTCGATTGTTTTATGCTTGCTGAAGGAAGAATTTCTCTCAACATCCCCAAACCCTTCAACCCAATCTCCAAACCCCCATTCAAAAAGCGCCTGCCATTCATTCGCCTGTCCTCTTCTTTATCTGTCTGTCCTCAACTCCATTGTTTTTTTGTGTCATGTTCTCAGACAAACATCAATCTAGGTTTTGTTTTCATAGAACCGCAAAAAGGACTATTTTTTATTCTCCCCCACAAACAGACAGATATTTTCTAACATTGAATACGCATTGTTTTCTATCAGCCTTACTTTCGGTATTTGGTTTTTTATGTGCAATTTCTTTTTGACTAGATTAAACACATACGAGACTGGTTTTAATCCACCTGTCTTTTATTTAGATACATGTCAGATGCAGCGTCAGTCAGCCGGTGACCAAATGTGATGCATAGAAAATATGGATTATAGCATACCAGTATAAGTGGCACACTAGAAGGATTGCGAAATACACTTGTGGAATCCTAGATAATTTGAATTCACAAAGAAGTGGAGGGTAGGTTCAACGCACGGTCATGACCGAAGCACTCTTGTGAGAGATCTTAAATGCAAGTTCAGTCCAGTTTTTACAAATTCAACAGTGCACCTTTTAAGGACCGTTCAAGCAAGGCCCTCGGATTTGTTTTTAGTGTGTTATTCGCTCACTGAAGGTTTGCTATTCGGGCTCGGTCCTCATGTTTCATGCACTCAGTGGAATAGGCCGGGTTTTAACCAAGAGGCTGCTCCCCTCTATGTTTGGTGGTTCGAGTGACCTCTCCCGGAGAGAACGCGGGTGAGGAAGGCAGGTCATCGATCAGCAGACTTGGTGAAGCTGCGCTTTGTGTAGCCTCCACTCTCTGACATTCAGGCCGGTCGGATCTGCGGCCGTAAGCACCTAGCCTGTATAACTGCACCATTACGACGAGATGCACCTTGGCGTGGTGTGATGGCTTGCGTGCCACCATGACCCTGCGAGCTACACAGGATGGCTTTACACAGCCGTAGATCCAATCATGCCTGAAAGGTCAGCTGTAGAGACTATACAAAGCGCAGTCTCACAAAGCCAGCTACTTGGGCACCTCCTGGCTTCTTTCATCTATCCACACCCGCCCCTGGAGAGGTCACTCCAGCAAGTAAACACGGTGAGGGGCCGTTTACCNATTAGGAAATTTAAATTTTATAAAAATAATTACAAAAATAGAGAAAAATCGGGCGAGATAGTCACTTTCAAGGTGGAAAGGTGGTTCATACATCACTCCAGCAAGTAAACACGGTGAGGGGCCGTTTACCAGTCAAAAACTCCGCTAGATGGACGAAGCAGCAGGATACCTGGGGCTTCCTCTCGACGATAGGAGATCTTCGCACTTCATTGGACAGCTACCGCCCGCTCAAGCTGGGCAGCCCCAAGCAATAAGGGGTTGTGTCGTCCTCGTTCCGCCTGTCTTATTGAATGCATGAAACTAAGGGCCAATCCCGAACAGTGGATCGATAATCAACGCACCAGAGAACAACAAACTTAAACGCGATCCGAAGGCCCTGTGCGAGAGGTTTCTAGAAGCTCCTACAAGGATGCTTCGGTCACGCTCCCGCGTTGGATTTACGCCCCACTTCCTTGTGGGTTAGACTTGATTCAAAGGCTCCGTTAGGGTTCCCAAAGAAAAACCCATTCGTCGGCGTGGGTTGCCGCGAAGTATATCGTGGCTCAAGGTCTTGGGCACCCATTTGGAAAACCATATTTCCCATCTGTCTAGTTCTTTCTCTCAACCCCAAATAATCCCAGAAGCCTCCTGTTTTTGAGATCAATCGGATATCACTCAGTGTTTTACCAAAAAGGCCAGAGAAGCAGAAGTTGTACGATTTTTGAAGCCAAAACTCCCTTCTCGTTTAGCCGCGTTCAATGTCCGCACACTATCTCATTGGTAAACAAGCTGCCTTGAAACTTTCAATTTAGATGTATACTGTCTCCGAAACACGCATACAAGACCCTACTTCGGTAATCTCCCTGCATTCTCCTGATCCAACCGCAACGTCACGCTTCACCCTCCGTGTGTCAGACGATTCAGCATCCAAAGCTCGCGGTGTTTCTGGTGTTAGGATTGCGCTAAGTGCCAAGGCTGAGCGCTCTTTTCTTGACTAGATTCCAGTCAATAGCCGACTGTGCGCGGAACGTCTCACTGATTCAGCACGAGTCAACAGCTACAGAATGAGGCGTCGATGCTTATTCGTCGTATCGGTGTATGCACCGACCGATTGCAGTAGACCTGAAATCAAGGATGAATTCTATAAGGATCTTTGTCAACTAATCCCGTGTTTGATCGACAAACGTCGTAGTAGTCGCTGGAGACTTCAGTGCTCGATGCTCAGAAAGGCATCTTGAAGGACCAAATGCAATCCCAGCCTACCGGACGGACAACGCTTATTTCAACTCTGTGCCGACCACGGATTGCTCCTNAGCACGAACTTCTCGCACAAGAAACGACACCACCTTATATGGAAACCGCCTACCTCTTCACAGCGCTGAACCCAAACCGACCACATCGCCATCATTTATCGCTGGATGGGGTCGATTCAAAACTGCCGCTCTTATTGGTCAACACCTACGGATATAAACCACACTATGTTGCGAGCCAAATTCTCCTGACGCCTGGCAAACAAACGCAAGAAAGCCACCGACAACGGATACCCACGATACAACGTCAGCGATTGTTGCAAATCGGCCTTCGAAGTGGAACTCTCCGATCGCCTCTCAGTCCAACCACCAACCGAAGGACCCAATGAACATTGGAAGCAAAACAAGGAAGCTAAGCAAATATCATTAAAAACGTCGGACTCCGGCGCAGATTCTAAACATAACCGATGGATATCGTCGGCCGCGGCTGCCTACTGGACGCCAGCAGAACCTTTCCTTGTGATGCCAAATACGACACAGCACGCAAATTCCTTAAACGCCAGCTCATTAAGTGTCTGATGAATGACCGCGAGAAGTGGTGGGCAGGAAAGTGTAAAGAAATGAAGGAGGCTGCGGTTATTGGTAATAATCGCAATCTTTTCCGTCTAAGAATACGGGCCTCAGGAGAACTGGCGAAAGGAGGTGATTAAGGAATCCTATGGCACACTGATTCACGGTCAGCAACGTCTTGATCGATGGGCTGAACACTTCGAGGCTCAACTGTTCCCCATC